CTATGTGATTAAAATCTCAATTCAAAGAAGGTGGCCAACCAAGCTAAAATACAACCCTATAATTTGGTAAGGAATCTAATGTTATTTTTTCTTATCCTTTTTAAGAACCCTTCCCCCCAAATCCTCAAGGAACCTTGATTGAGCCCTGTGTACATGCCCACAAAGTTTTCCCAAGTGTTCAATTCAGTTATAGTTTTTTTTTTTTCTTTAACAGGGTGAAACCTACAATGGATGAAGTTTAAAAAAAAAAACAAATCAAACAAACCAAAATCTTGACCACAGAAGATAGTAAGGTTATTTCCTGGCGTTAGCCTTAGCTTGAGGTGGAAAAAAAGAAAAAATGTATTCCCTCAGAATTCCTTACAAGCTCAGACCCTCTCAGGTTGGAGACCTGATTTCATTCTATGTGTGGCTCAAAAATTTCCAAGCTAAAAACCAGGCAAACACAAAAATAAAGTTGGCAAAGATTCAGTGATACTAGATGAAATAGGCGTTTGGGCATTACTAAATAATGTCACATATGAATAAAGATAGTTTAAAACTTGTAGACACCTAATAAATTAACTTGAAAAAGTATAAAATAGGGTGCCTGAGTGGCTCAGTTGGTTAAGTGACTGCCTTCAGCTCAGGTCATGATCCTGGAGTCCCGGGATCGAGTCCCGCATCGGGCTCCCTGCTCAGCAGGGAGTCTGCTTCTCCCTCTGACCCTCCCCCCTCTCATGCTCTCTCTGTCTCTATCTCATTCTCTCTCTCAAATAAATAAATAAAATCTTTAAAAAAATTTAAAGTATAAAATAAAAACTGAAAAACCACATGAAAAAGACTAATTTTACTATCAAAATGGGAGATTGTTAGATTACAATGACCTCCCCCACAAAAAAAGCCAGTAAGTATGTAGAGTATCTGAATAACTTAATTAATTTGCTCTAGTGACTTTGTATATAAACCTATATCCAATAACTATCATGTTAGGAGTGCCTGGCTGGCTCAGTCGGCGTGACTCCTGATCTTGGGGTTGTGAGTTTGAGCCCCATGTTGGGTGTAGAGATTACTTAAAAATAAAATCTTTAAAAAGGAAAACTACTGTGCTATTCTTTTAAATCACAGATATACATTTATAATAACTGAGAATGTGATAGGCCATAAGAAGCCTCACCTAATGTAAAAGAATGTTACATAAATCACAATCTGTGATTATAATGGAAATACATTAGAAAATAGTAAGTTTTTAAAACCATTCACGTGGAAATTTAAAAATACATTTCTAAATAAATTTGGGTAAAAAGAAATTGTGGGGACTAAAAAAAGAACAGTACTGAATAATAGATATTCAACTTAAAATCTTGGGACATAAAGAGTGACTCAGAAGGAAATGTATGGTCTTAAAAAATTAATAAACTCTACAACTATCTAAAGATTATGGCGGGGTGGGGGTGGGGTGAGTAGAAGAAGAAAACCAAACAAAGTAAGGCAATATAAAGATGAGAACAAAAGGATGCCTGGGTGACTCAGTCGGTTAAATGTCCGCCTTCGGCTCAAGTCACGATCCCAGCGCTCTGGGATCAAGTCCCGCATCAGGCTCCTTGCTCCGCAGGGAGTCTGCTTCTCTCTCCCCTTCTCCCTCTGTGTGTGTGCTCGCTCTCTCTCTAGTTTTCACTGTTTCTCAAATAAATAAATAAAATATTAAAAAAAGAAAAGAACTATGGATAGAGCATGGATAATTCAAGCTAATAAACAACTTTGGGGCACCTGGGTGGCTCAGTCAGTTAAGCCTCTTGCCTTCAGCTTAGATCATGATTTCCGGGTCCTAGGACCACGCCCCCTGTCAGGCTCTCTGCTCAGCGAGGAGCCTGCTTCTCCCTGTCCCTCTGCCTCTGCCTGCCACTCCCCCTGCTTGTGCTCTCTGTCAAATAAATAAATGAAATCTAAAAAAAAAAAAAGATAAACTTTATACCAACAAATGTAAAAAATTAAGTGATATCAATATTCCTAGAAAAGAATAACCATAACTGACATAACTGACTCCAGGTGAAATAGAAAAATCTGAATTGTTCCATAATTATTAAAGAACCAATAAGCATTTTAGATTTTTCCCACATAGAAAACCCAGGCCCAAAATGGCTTCACAGGCTAGTATGACCAAAGACTTAAGGAATGAATAATTACCACTTTACACAAATGCTCAGAGAACGAAAAAAGAAGAAATACACCTACTATTCATTTTAGCAGTCTCATATATTCAAAAGCAGATAGAATAGCACTTAAATGGGAAATTCCAGGCCAATTTCATTCCTAGCCACAGATGCAAAAATTCTAAAGGAAATAATGCCAGCAATGTGGGGGGGGGAAATGATCAAATTAAGTTTAATCCAAGAATTCAAGATTGGTCTGAGATTATGAAATCTATTACTATAATTTACCACATTAAGGGATTCAAGGAGAAAAAAATGTATACATACACAATTATTTCAGTGAATGGATAATACATCTGATAAAATTCAATGCCAATGCCATTCATGATAAAAATTCTTAGCAAAGGGGCACCTGGGTGGCTCAGTCGTTAAGTGTCTGCTTTCTGCTCAGGTCA